TGTTAGCTGGAATGCCGCCATTGCTCTCGTAAGGGCTTGAAATGAAGAATCCGTTACTCTGATTAGTACCGTGAGATCATCCGCAAATAGTATTGTTGTCGGTAAATTTGTGATGCGTCCCTGCTGATCCGGATGAGCAATCAGGCGATCTATCGAAGGGTCTTTCCTGAGGAACGAGGCAATAGCCTCCATTATGAACAAGAAAATAGGAGCCGCTAAGGGGTCCCCTTGCCTCACCGACCTCGTCATTTTATACCGATCTGAGAGGTGGCCATTAACTTGGACCTGACCGTGTGCATCATTATACAGTACCCGAATCCATTTACGAAAGTTAGGACCCACTCCCATCTTCTCCGTACATTGCTGTAGAAAATTCCAGTTGACTTGATCATATGCTTTTTCGAAGTCGAAGAAGAGGATCGCTGCGTTTATCCTTTTATTTTTAATGTACCTAACCAATTCTGATAAAGTCATAACATTATCCAAAATAAATCTTCCAGGAATGAAACCTGTTTGATCTATGTGGAAACAACCTTCTGTAACTTTCCTGAGACGGTTAGTTAGTGCTTTAGCCACAATCTTATGAGTAAGGGTCAACAGTGTAATTGGTCTGTAATTTTTTATATCCCTAGGGTCTCCCTTCTTATATTGCAGAGTAACAATGTATGTCGCCAACTCTAACCCCAAGCCCTCTTTCTGCCAGGCTTGATTGAGAAAGGATTCGTCCTCTCCTCCTAGGATAGACCAAAACTCCAACCAAAATTGTTTAGTCCATCCGTCCCTACCCGGCGTCTTGTAAGGAGGCATAGACTGTAGGGCTTCCCTCAATTCCTCCTGGGACAGAGGGGCGTCCAATTTTTCCGCAAGCTCCCTCTTCACCGTACAATCCAAGTATGATAGAAACTTATTTCTGACTTCCTTCAGTTGATGAGAAGTATAGTCACCTTCCCTTGAACTGTATAATGCACTGTAGAAGTCGTAAGCCACCGACAGCATCCCCTCCGGATCCGAAACCACTCCTTGCGAACCTTCCAACTGCTCTATTAGCTTGTTTCTTCCTCTTGCTTTAATCTTTTGAAAGAAGTACTTTGTCATTCTTTCCCCTTCCTCCCATTCTTTCACTCTCGCTCTCATCTGCAGACCCCTAGCCCTCCATCTCTCCCAGTCCCCCAATTCGTTTCTTGCTGCTTCTATTATTCTCTCGTACATCTCCGATCCTGGGTTATTAATTAAGTTCCTTTCTGCTATACGCAATGCTCTTTGCAGTTCGCTTTCCCTTGCCGCCCGTCTGGCAGCCAGCTGTCGGGCTACTACTGTCGTCGCTGCTGACAGGGCTTCTATAAGGTCCGTGAAAGATTATGTGTCCGGAGTGTGTCGTTCTGGGTGTTTTTATGCTTTTGGTGTATTTGTCCTGTCTCTTGCGGTTTCTTTTATTCCAAGGTAATTCAGAATTATTACTATTTTTAACTCATCTGCTTCCAGTGGAGTTCGAACTCAGGTGTGCATTTCAACAATTCAGTCCAGGGGGGGTGTATCAACCGAGTTAGGCCAGTTGGTGGCGATTGCGGTTTGCATTTTTGCCCTTCTGATTGCCAGTATGCCAAGACTCCTCAGACTGTTTTTTTTTTTCTTTTCTTTCCATCATTTGTTTTTTTTTTTTCCATAAGCTGCCTTCTCCTCATTGGGGGACAGCCATATATTTTTCTCTCACCTCACATATCTTTTAACTGGCGTTCTGCCATATGTCATCATGGAACATATTTTTCTTTTCAGAACCTACCTACCTACCACTACTCCTAGGGCTATAGTACAAGGGGACCCCTGCAAGCATAGCTTTCTACCTCTCTTCGGTGAAGGGAGGTTACCTCTCTCTCTCTGTGGAGAGAGGTAAGGGCATGTTTGCCCCTTTGCCCTAGCGTTTTAGGGTGCAGGGTTGGGGCCGCCGGTGGGGGCCTGGCTAACACAAGGACCGAGCATTTGCCAGTAGCTGTGCCTCACTTTTCATCCTCCTCCAACCCCATTGAGTAACAGTAGTGTCTAAAGCCAGCACTCTCCCACACACCACACGCCTCCCACTCACACCCGTGTTGGCCAAAGACTTATACTAATACCGACTGGGAGGATCCAGCTGACTATCTCAGTTGGTTGGCACCAAGAGTGCTACAGGCGGCCATGGGGATTGAACCCGTGACATTCTGAATGCCACTTGCGTGCCTAACCAATCGAGCTAGGCCGCTGGATTTTTCGCCCATCCTTCTGCAGGGGCCATGCTAATCTTCTTTTCTTTGTAAAATTCCAATTTTAACGGATGTCCCGAAGGACTGTGAGTTAATGTCACCCCCAAAAAGGTGTGTAGTCAATCAGATAAGCATCGTGTGTTATGTGTGTGTTCAGTTCTTGCACACCCTTGAAGAAATAGGACCCTCTTGTCTGAGGCCCTTCTTCAACCCTCTTGTTTTTGCCAGAATCCTCTGTCTCTCAAGTCTCAGTTTTGACACACTACTGTCTTCACACGAATAGGATGCCCGGTCATTACTGCTGTATCTGGACTGAAAGTGGGCCAAATACAGCTACAATGACCAGGCGTTCTATTCGGGTGAAGGTGGTGGTATTCATTCGTTGTACGTTATCTGCTCTTCCTGCCATTCTTGGCTGCACTGTATCTGGACTGAAAGCAGGCCAAATACAGCTACAATGACCAGGCATTCTATTCGGGTGAAGGCGGKGGTATTCATTYGTTGTACGTAATCTGCTCTTCCTGTCATTCTTGGATGCACTGTATCTGGACTGAAAGCGGGCCAAATACAGCTACAATGACCACACGTTCTATTCGGGTGAAGGCGGKGGTATTCATTCGTTGTACGTAATCTGCTCTTCCTGTCATTCTTGGCTGCACTGTATCTGGACTGCAAGCGGGCCAAATACAGCTACAATGACCAGGCGTTCTATTTGGGTGAAGGCGGTGGTATTCAATCTGCTCTTCGTGCCATTCTTGTCTCTTTGCAGCCGCAGGTGCTGCTTCCCCTCTTGTGTTTTTTGGCCATAGTAAGACAAATGGAGGGAGAGGGGGGAGGGATAAAGGGGGTACCTACCCCTACCCCCCCCCCTGGTATTGATGTCTTGAATAGGATTTAACGGAATTTTAACCTCTGAAAATCCTGATTCGCATTTACCAATTGCAGCTTCTTAAAAAAATAGCACCTTCTTAAAAAATCATAATAATAAAAAAAATAGCAGCTTCTCTTCTTCCAGGAGTGCTCCCTTCCTGCTCAAAGGCAGTTCTGTATAAAACCACCAGTACCTCCGAGCCTGTTTTTGCCGACCCTGATTTTCACTGCGCTCTGAGTTTTGCCGAGCCTGGGTCCCACACTCTCACGGGAAGAACAAAACAAAAAAAAAAAAGAAGAAATGTTGCGGCCATGAAAACTCACAAAACAAGAAAACGAAACAAAGCTCTGGGCGTGATTGCAGCTGTATACATTCTCGGAAGTGTTAGTGTGAGTGTGCCCTGAGTGAGGGCATCTCAGCCCCGTGGCCAGGTTGTCAGATTCCAGAAACTAAAAAAAAAAAAAAAGACAGGAACACGGATTTGGCCGTGAAAATGGCAAGATACATTCCCGTAAGTGCCAGTGTGATCAGGGTTACAATCCTCTGAGGGAACACAGCTCGAGCAGATCACGGACTCAGATTGTCAGATTCCAGAAAAAGAAAACAAGAAAAAAAAAACAGAAACACAGATTCGGCCTTGAAAACGGCTGGATACATCAGGGTTACAATCATCTGAGGAAACACAGCTTGAGCAGATCACGGATTCCGCCCTGCCTCGTTGGCAGGGGACACATAAGAAACAAAAGAGAAATAAAAAAAAGAAAACAACAAGTTTCAGAATGTGACTGTCTTTGTTGTAAGATGCATTCAAGACTGTGAGCACAGCCTCCTAGACTACCCTGCCCGACATCATTGCAGTACAAAGGCGTTTTTTTTTCCCTTTTTCTTTCGTGCACGGGCAAAAGAAAACTACGATTTTTGGGACATTGCCGACCCTGTGTCCGACCCCCGAAAACTTCGGGTACTGGCCAGGACAACGTAATTTCCCAACACTGGCCCATTCGCCGGTCCCCTTAAATAACCACTTATTTTCTTGTGCCATTTTGTTCTCCAGCTTACCACTGTGTGGGCTGCTGGATCTAGTCTTTTTTTTTTCTTTTTTTTTTTTCCGAACAGGTCCTTGTGGCCCTGGCTCCACAAGGGCCCAGTAAATTCTGCGGTACGCCGTCATGCCATTTTTTTATCGGTGCCTCTTGCCTTGCATTGTGGATGGTGCCCATGGATGCTCCTCGTCTCTTCACTTCTGATACCTTGTGTACAATTAGCTAGAAAAAAAAATAAAATAAAAAATAAAATAATAATAATAATTAAAAAAAAAAAAAAAAGCTTACCCATTCGCGAAAGGTCTGATGGCAGGCATGCAGGCTCCACTTTTAAACACCGTGTGATGGCTGAGTGGCTGTAAGAGACTTGGCTCTTGTGACTGAGGTTGCCAGTTCGATTCCATGTGCGCAGGATGGAATGGATGGACCTAAGGTCCAGAAAGTACATATGCATAACTAGTAACTACTAATGCGAATAGGAATGCAGGTTGAACTTTTAAACACCGTGTGATGGCTGAGTGGCTAAGAGACTTGGCTCTTGTGGCCGAGGGTGCCGGTTCGATTCCATCTGTGCGCGGATGGACCTAAGGCCAGAGAGTACGGATCCATAACTACTTATGCGAACAGTTTTGCCCGTAAGAGCTGGTCATACAAATCTGAACAAACAAACATCTGGTGGGGTAGCAGAGCTGGTTTGTTCTTATGAGAAATTGCAATTTGCAACAGTGACCTCTCCATCCATGTGGTTGTGAAACATTAACCCATTAGCTCTTTTATTTCTTATGAGAAATTGCAACAGCGACCTCTCCGGATTGATCTGTATAATTGTGTCATGTTGAATGATCCCAGAAGGAAGGGCCGGCATCTTAATGTCCAGCAGAGAAGACTGTCTGCCCAAGCTCCTTGATGGTTCTGGTGAGCCAACATCCTTGCATGACCCACCGTTGTTGTGGCTTGGTCACCCTCTCTCTCTCTCTCTCTCTCTCTCTCTCTCTCTCTCTCTCTCTCTCTCTCTCTCTCTCTCTCTCTCTTGCTCTC